ATTTTTCAAGGACATGCCCCAAAGGACGACGACAACCTGAGCAGACGAGTGTCAAGACTCCCAAGAGTCCCGAACGAAAAGTAACGTTGGGAAAAGAAGGGTAATGGAAAAAGATAAACATTAAACTAGACGGAGACAGCGAGAGGAGGATACTGTCTCCAGTATGGATCCAAATGCCTCCACCGTAGGACTAATCATTAGTGAACCCTCCAAGTTGCCTGTGGTAAATGTTTTTATTACTGGAGTACTAACCTCAGCCCGGATTGATACGGGTTCTGACTTTACTTTAATAAATGATTCCGTGTGGAAGAAAATTTCTTTTCAGAATAGAAATATTCGGTTACAAGCTGGACCGAATTTTAAGTTAGCCATTGAAGGAGGAAAAGGAACCGCCATTGGAAAATTTCTAGCAAAGATCCAGATTGGAAATGTCACCCTTCACCAAGAGTGCATTGTAATGAAAGGACTTATAATGCAATGCTTACTAGGGTGTGATTTTGCCAAGAACCATGGATTAAGAATGGATTTCCAAAATTCAACAGTTTCTTTTGGAAGTAGTTAAACCAAAAGAGAAAATTTCACCCAAGTGGGACTAACTCCAAACCACTTTGAGTGGTGAAAGGTTAGTGACTTTGAAAAACGTATTATTACAATACCAGCAACTGTTTACAGATAAGCTGGGACTAACTAATATGATAGAACATGAAATCGTCACTGACAAGGCGACACCAGTATGTGGACAACCATATAAATACTCTGACGTAAAGTTAAAGGAAATTAACCTCCAGATAGCGGAAATGTTAAAGGATGGTATTATCCAACCGTCAAATTCTTCGTGGGCCTCACCAGTCATCATGGTTAAGAAGAAAACAGGCAATTGGAGATTATGTATTGATTATAGAAAATTAAATCAGGTAACAGTGACTGACAAATACCCTTTACCGATTTATTTCAGAGTTACTGACTTCGCTTAAGGAAGCAAACTTTATAACTACGTTGGACTTATCATCTGGTTACTGGCAAGTGCCATTGAAAGAACAAAACAGACCAAAGACTAGTTTTATTACAAATAGTGGCTTGTATGAATTTCTGATCATGCCTTTTGGTCTAAAGAATGCGCCAGCGACATTCCAAAGACTAATGGACAAAGTCCTAAAGGAAGAAAAAGGAAAGTATTGTCAAGTTTATTTAGACGATAAATATAATATATTCATCTACTTTTACAGAACACAGAACACTTGACCAATGTGTTCGAAAGATTGGCAGCTGCAGGATTAACCATTAAATTGGCTAAGAATCACTTTTGTCGCCCAGACATTCATTACCTGGGATTCAAAGTCAGCAATAAAGGCATTGCGATGGAAGATGAGAAAGTAAGGGCTGTTCAAGAGTTTCCGACGCCCAGAAATACGAAGGATCTTAGCACCTTTTTGGGAATGTGCAGCTGGTACTGTAGATTCATACCTAACTACGCAACCATCGCCGAACCATTGTATCAGTTACGGCAGAAACAGAAACTATGGGAGTGGACGGAAGAATGCCGTCAAGCTTTTGAAAAGCTAAAAAGTAAGTTAATAACTGCACCTATTTTGCAGCTTCCTAGGCCAGGTGTGCCTTATATGTTATATATCGACGCTAGCACTGTAGGACTGGGAGCAGTGCTTTGCCAGGAGAAAGTCATTGCGTATGCTAGTCGTACCTTAAACGCAGCCGAAAGAAACTATACGGCCACTGAGCTTGAGTGTCTAACCGTTGTTTGGGCTATAGATAAGTTCAAGGTTTACCTAGACAGAACAGAATTTACTGTCGTAACGGACCATTCTGTATTACGATGGCTCCATAGTTCTACGTCCCTCTCAGGTAGGTTAATGAGATGAGCTTCTGTTAGCAACGAGTGTGGTGAGCTTCGTAGCAGCAAACGAGAGAGGGGTCCAATAGGATAAAGTAGTTCCAAGGCGATTTTGAAGTTGTTTGATTTGTGGATCAAAGATTAGAGTGTCTTGAGAGTTGAGGAAAAAGGTTCCTAGTATATTGAGGTGATGATTAGGATCTTTACTTCGTAAGAATTATTGTATATAAGTTAAGTCTTTGAATTTTTGTTGAATTCCAAAGGGGAATAGAGTTAAGTTAGAAAATAGATTGATTTGAGTTTTGTCAGGTTGATTCTTATTGATTTACATTAAATAAATTATTTGATTTTTACTAAATTTTGTATATAGTTATTTATTAGAAAATTTTATTAAATATTGGATTGTTTTTTTTTTTTTTTTTTTTTGACAAACTTTGTCATTAGTTAATTCGGTGCACGCTTAAAGTCCAGGCCTAGCACATTAACGCGAATCTGCGTACAGTACCCGTTAGGTAACGGCTATTTCCTGCACACAGTTGTGTCAATAATCGTTGTAGAGGGTGGAAAAATAATATAGTACTTTACAAAAGTGTTCCTTCAGCCTTTTTTCTAAAGCTCTTCTTGTTGCTGTATGTGATGTTTCTCTTACTCATCTTTCTCTTCCATCAGTATAAATATTCTTACGTTTTTTACTCATTTTTTTTTCTCAATTTTTTTTAATCCATTAGCTTAGTCTATTAAAGATTATAGTATTTCAACAAAGTAAGAGTTACAATCCTTGGTAGACTAAAGAATTAAGAAAATAGAGTATAGTATTCCAAACTGTTTTTTTGTTGATTGAAAAGAAATTAATCTTTGTGAAATTTTTATTTCTGGAATAATAATCAAAAATTAAACAAATACTGGACTAAGTACATACATTGTATGGACTTACTCTAGAAGATGGTACTGAATGGTAATCTTGTTGTTTATCTATTTTTAGAAGTTGTAAATTCAGAAGAATTTGGAATTATTTTTTGTTGTTGTTTTGAAATTTTAATAGTTCTAAACTATATATTTTTATGCCATATTAAATAATTAGTATGTGACTAATGAGAGTTGGATATTTCTTAAGTGTCTTATTATATTTATACTTACATTTCAATTAAAAATATAATGCTCTATAATAGTACACCATTATAATAAAAATTTTCAAAGTTTTACATAAATTATTTTGCATTGACATTTTTTAAAACAAAACAATTTAACAGTAACTGTCATACAGAATTTCACTGTTAAATTGTATCAATTCTTTTTATAATTTCTATTTTTGTATAAATTTTCAAAGGCACAAAAAAATTTTTTTTTTACATTTTCTATTTAAAAATTTATAAATAAAAAAATCAATGCATGCACTTTTTGTTCGTATATTGAATGTGAATGGAAAAATATAAATATTTTTATAAAAAAATGATCAAACTTTATATGTAGAAAAAAATTGTTTTTTAGCAATGGCATATAAATATTTTTTTTCATTTCATTTGTTTTAATTCAGTTTATAGTTTAGATAGCCTATAAATATATATTTATTGGTTATCTAAACTATATATAAACAAACAAGTAAGCTGGAAAAACTTCTGATGTCTATATTAAATGTAATTTACTATCAATGATAATTGGGTCAAGATTTGATTTAAATTTGCTCAAATCATCATAGTTTTATTGTGATTGAACTGAATCTTTTAGAAAATAATTTTATTTTACATTTAATGTTAATTTAAATACAAATAAATATATATTTTAAAATATGTTAAACTTTGAATTTTCAAGTTTTTTGGAGATAAAAATAAATGCAGAAATCTTCCAGAAATTTCAGTGATGACACAAAGAATGACATTAGTAGACTGAATGTGGATTTTAAAATATGTTATTTTTGATATACAGTAGCTCCTTGTTATATTGTGGATTCAGATGTATTGTGCTTTTTTTTTCTATCTTTTGTTCCTCAAATTTTAAAGCATTTGAATTAATAAATTTTAAAATATCAATTGCCATTGAATTTCTTTTTGCAACAAAATACCGTATTTTATTCCTACCATTGTCCTTGAAACTATCACTGCAGGTGAAACAAAAAATTCATCAAGATCTAAATGAGCAAAACAGATGGACAGATAAATTTATTATTTGCTTCCTTTTGATTTCAAAAGTTGTTTGTTTATTAGTTTTAAGTAGGCCTACATTTACAAGTTTCTGTGAATTTAAAATTTCACACTTTTATGTGAATTGAGGTATTGACTCAATTCACATAAAGGTGTGAAATTTTAAATTCAGTGGGTAATGTCTAAGAAGAATTTTTTTATTTCTGAACAGAGTTCTAAAATTTTTATACAGTAGTAACTTTATTATTTAGCTTTTTAGAAAATTTTTACTCTGTAATTTTATAAGTTTTGATGTTCTGTTATATGCTCAATATTTATTTATTGAAATTTTCAATTACTGTATTTATAATTTTTATTAAACAATATAAATTACGCAAATTTTTAATAAGCAATTTATTATGAAATATAGTACTGTACAATAAAATCGCAACTGATATTTTGTTTTATATTGACAGTATTTGTCTTTAAATGTTATTGTTAAAGAAACAATAATGCTAAATGGGCATTTGTAAATGTAATGTTTACGTAAATGTCATTTAATACGATATAACCACAAATAAAATTTAGCATTGAACAACTAATCTTATTTTAAATCAGAAACATTTGCTGATGAAAGAACGGAGGATAGAGATTTCATAGTATGTGTGATCTGTGTAGTATAAGCCTAGAATTTTTATTACTTGATTATATTATGCTTTTTCTTTGTCTCCTGATAAGCGCGATATAACGAGGGGCTATTGTATTAAAATTTAAAAAACTTTTAATAGATATTATAGACATTTAAAGAGAATTTACTTATTTATTATTATTCAGTATTAAATTTTTTTGGAATGTTTTGCTGAGATTGATTGTAAAGATAGAATTATTAAATAAAATATAAGTAAAGTAGATATATAATATAAGTAAATAATACTCAGATATTTAAAAATAACTAACATTAGAATAACCCAACAAATATATCAAAAATATTTTTTTTTTTTAGCATAATTTAAATTTCATTTATTTATAAATAGGTTACACTACAAACAGATGAAGTAAAGAATGTTCCATGTGGTACAAGGTAAATGTCTTTCAGTAACGCCAATTTAAATTTCAAGAAAAATAAAAATATACTCCCAAAGCTGGAACAACAGTCATTAACTCACACAGTAACCTCAGTACTTACTTCAGCACTGTTTAATAATCATACAAATGATTTGTCGAGTAGTACAGGCATTCCATTAGCATAGTGACATAATTTAAAAAGCACAATTCCATACAGAATTTAAAAGGAACATTTTCATATGGGTTTTCAGAAGAAAAATAAAAAAAATTTTTTAAAATAAGGTACTTCTTTATTTACTTAATTTTTAAGAATTAATAACATACTGGCATGTTTGCAGTAGTATGATGTTATAACTTTAATGCATGTAACTGATAGGGTAGTCCTGTAAATCTGCATTGCCATGGCTGTTCAAATTGTATGACAGTTAAAGATGTTACATTTGAGTTTAGCATCCTCCAAACATGTAGACATCCTGGCTCTGACATGTCTGTTTTTGGATGTGTTATATTTATGATTATTAATTCTAGCCCTGAGGGATCTGTACATGGAGAAAATGTAGCATTGATGCTTGTTGAACCTGTAGTCATTTACAGGGATTTCATACAAACCAGGAGCATGAGCTATCTGAATAATGTGTGTAAGTACTTTTTAATTAATGGGGCCTAAAGGCTGCAGTTTTATAGCACACAGGATCAGAGTTGGATGGTATAAAGAAAGGCTAATAAGTGGGCATACATTTTGCATGAGATGTTACTCGATCATTTGAAAATTGAATGTCAATGTGCATCCCTGCATTACTAGATTGCTTTAGGTTAAGAATAAGGCCATATATGTTGTTGAAAGCCTCTAAAACATCTTGGATGTTAGGTTTAGCTTTTGGTATTACTAAAATATCATCAGCATATTTAATATGTAGTAATATATCCAATAGAAATCTTTCCAGGGTCTGTTCCTCCAAATATCAGAGAATCAACTCACTAGATCACCAGAGAGGGGACTGCTCGTGGGTACTCCATGTTTGTCGGTGTACTTGTTTGTCAAAGGAGATGTATCCCAACAAGTGTGTAAGCTTCATAATTTGTGAAACTTTTATGTATTGTGTATGGTAAAGAAAAAGAAATTCTGTAATGTGCAAAAACAAGACTCAAGGAGATTTGACTGGAACATTGATACAAAATCAAGCACTGTAGTGTGCTCCTTACCAGTTAGTTTAATTTCATGCAATTTGGAGATAAGATTGATGGGGTTGGTTATTGTATAGGTATACTCTTTGAAGTGGTTTATCAGTAGGTGATGAATTATCCTCTATAAGGAATGTCTGGGATCTAGTTTTATTAATGATAAGGCATAATTGCCGACCTGGTTTGTGAGTGAGTCTTTGCAAATGCAAATTACTAAGAGTCATCCATTAATTAAAATATCTTACTTTTACTTTCCCAGCTGTTATAACAGAGGGAAAGTGTGGCAATCAGTCAAAAAATTGATCCCCCCAGATTTTTGCATTTTTGGACTCAGGATCTTGAAACATTAAGAAATGCAAAAAAATTTGGGGGTTTTTTTCCTGTATGTATTGATGTTAGTATGTGAGGCACAATTTTGTTCATCCTCTTTTAAGCTTAATAACACTTGTGCTTTTTGCCAAACATTTATGAAATTTTGTAGGGAAGTTTGTTTATTAGGGATTGACATTATTAAATTTTGGTGATTAAAAGTTGAAGGGTGGGGAGATAAAGAGGATCACGTGTATCTCCAGTAGGGTCAGACTTAATGATGATTTTACTTGTTATTAGCATTTACAGTTTTTTTATAAAACTCATCCCTACTCTCAATATGAAACTTTTTGCAATTTTATAATAGTTAAAAATATATAAAAAGTTTTTAAATAAAATATAATGGTTAGTTTCACTAAATGTTACCGGGGAAGTTAAGCAACTTGTTGCTGAATATTTTTGTTTACTTCTTACTAGTGTACTTTAGTTCATGATACTTATTCTTTTCAAATTTATTAGTTAGTGTTAAAACATATCATAGATTAGTAAAATTTTCAGATGTAATGAATTAGGTGTACAAAATTTTAAATGTTATCTAAATTTAAAATAATCCATATTTACAGATTTTGTAAAAAGTAAATATAACATAACCTCATAAAATTCAGGAAGTTCTAGAAACAGTATACTAACTTCAAGATATACAATTCTTATTCCAGCTTGAGGTGTAATACACACTATTAAGCATTACTTTTTATATTAGCTACATTATAATTTCTTAATTAATTAAATAACAAAAAAAGTGTTCATATTTATATCTTGAGGGAATATTAATATTAGTTTATTATTTATGTTTAAATATTGTTTGTAATAAATGATGTTATAGTTACAATGTAAGAATAATATTAAAGCTACTTTATATTATTGAATTAACATAAGAATTTTTCTTATTTCAGTGGTGGTGTAATGATTTATTTTGATAGAATTGAAGTTGTAAATATTTTAAATCCTCCTAGTGGTAAGCTTTTGCATGAAAAGTACTTTAAAGATAAAATTTTTTATAAAAAAAAATGAAACAATACAAACATTTTATATTTTTCTTTATTTATAAAATTATTATTTTTTATTTACTTCTAATTGTTTTCTGTACTTTATATATGTTACTGGCAATTATAGGATTTTTTAGGTAAAGTTAAGATTGCCGACAGTGTTATAATCATTGCCCAAAATAAAGTTTTTTATTTCAGACTTTGCCTGAAAACAAATTAGGCAAACTTAAGATTGCCTAAAGAGGGCTAGAGAATGTCAAAATTAATATTTTTGTTTACATTGCCTATTTCACTGGATTGAATAGGTACAAGATAATAAACAAGGGTTTTATAGAACACTTTATTGAAAAATAATCTTATGTATAAGTTAAAACTATGTCAATTAAAAGAACAAACAAACAATTCAATTCTGTACTAAAAACATAAGAACAGTTTTATCCTAAGACTTACTTATTAACATGAGTTTGAATTATTATGGCATCAAGAATTACATAGCAACTTCACTTTTTTACATTTGCAGGCATTTGTTATGCACTTTTTATGCAATAACACTTGAAGAATCCTTGCTCACTGAAAGTGGAATTATGACTGTTAATTGACTCTTTGTCAGGGATGTTGTGAGAGATCAGAGTGGAGTTAGCCCTAAATTATGGAAATTTTTAGGTCTATTTCTCCATTGTGATCATTAAGAAAACATTGCACAGAAAATGGATTGAATGACACCCTTTCCATCAACAAAATTAATAACATACTGGCATGTTTGCAGTAGTATGATGTTATAACTTTAATGCATGTAACTGATAGGGTAGTCCTGTAAATCTGCATTGCCATGGCTGTTCAAATTGTATGACAGTTAAAGATGTTACATTTGAGTTTAGCATCCTCCAAACATGTAGACATCCTGGCTCTGACATGTCTGTTTTTGGATGTGTTATATTTATGATTATTAATTCTAGCCCTGAGGGATCTGTACATGGAGAAAATGTAGCATTGATGCTTGTTGAACCTGTAGTCATTTACAGGGATTTCATACAAACCAGGAGCATGAGCTATCTGAATAATGTGTGTAAGTACTTTTTAATTAATGGGGCCTAAAGGCTGCAGTTTTATAGCACACAGGATCAGAGTTGGATGGTATAAAGAAAGGCTAATAAGTGGGCATACATTTTGCATGAGATGTTACTCGATCATTTGAAAATTGAATGTCAATGTGCATCCCTGCATTACTAGATTGCTTTAGGTTAAGAATAAGGCCATATATGTTGTTGAAAGCCTCTAAAACATCTTGGATGTTAGGTTTAGCTTTTGGTATTACTAAAATATCATCAGCATATTTAATATGTAGTAATATATCCAATAGAAATCTTTCCAGGGTCTGTTCCTCCAAATATCAGAGAATCAACTCACTAGATCACCAGAGAGGGGACTGCTCGTGGGTACTCCATGTTTGTCGGTGTACTTGTTTGTCAAAGGAGATGTATCCCAACAAGTGTGTAAGCTTCATAATTTGTGAAACTTTTATGTATTGTGTATGGTAAAGAAAAAGAAATTCTGTAATGTGCAAAAACAAGACTCAAGGAGATTTGACTGGAACATTGATACAAAATCAAGCACTGTAGTGTGCTCCTTACCAGTTAGTTTAATTTCATGCAATTTGGAGATAAGATTGATGGGGTTGGTTATTGTATAGGTATACTCTTTGAAGTGGTTTATCAGTAGGTGATGAATTATCCTCTATAAGGAATGTCTGGGATCTAGTTTTATTAATGATAAGGCATAATTGCCGACCTGGTTTGTGAGTGAGTCTTTGCAAATGCAAATTACTAAGAGTCATCCATTAATTAAAATATCTTACTTTTACTTTCCCAGCTGTTATAACAGAGGGAAAGTGTGGCAATCAGTCAAAAAATTGATCCCCCCAGATTTTTGCATTTTTGGACTCAGGATCTTGAAACATTAAGAAATGCAAAAAAATTTGGGGGTTTTTTTCCTGTATGTATTGATGTTAGTATGTGAGGCACAATTTTGTTCATCCTCTTTGAAGCTTAATAACACTTGTGCTTTTTGCCAAACATTTATGAAATTTTGTAGGAAAGTTTGTTTATTAGGGATTGACATTATTAAATTTTGGTGATTAAAAGTTGAAGGGTGGGGAGATAAAGAGGATCACGTGTATCTCCAGTAGGGTCAGACTTAATGATGATTTTACTTGTTATTAGCATTTACAGTTTTTTTATAAAACTCATCCCTACTCTCAATATGAAACTTTTTGCAATTTTATAATAGTTAAAAATATATAAAAAGTTTTTAAATAAAATATAATGGTTAGTTTCACTAAATGTTACCGGGGAAGTTAAGCAACTTGTTGCTGAATTTTTTTTGTTTACTTCTTACTAGTGTACTTTAGTTCATGATACTTGTTCTTTTCAAATTTATTAGTTAGTGTTAAAACATATCATAGATTAGTAAAATTTTCAGATGTAATGAATTAGGTGTACAAAATTTTAAATGTTATCTAAATTTAAAATAATCCATATTTACAGATTTTGTAAAAAGTAAATATAACATAACCTCATAAAATTCAGGAAGTTCTAGAAACAGTATACTAACTTCAAGATATACAATTCTTATTCCAGCTTGAGGTGTAATACACACTATTAAGCATTACTTTTTATATTAGCTACATTATAATTTCTTAATTAATTAAATAACAAAAAAAGTGTTCATATTTATATCTTGAGGGAATATTAATATTAGTTTATTATTTATGTTTAAATATTGTTTGTAATAAATGATGTTATAGTTACAATGTAAGAATAATATTAAAGCTACTTTATATTATTGAATTAACATAAGAATTTTTCTTATTTCAGTGGTGGTGTAATGATTTATTTTGATAGAATTGAAGTTGTAAATATTTTAAATCCTCCTAGTGGTAAGCTTTTGCATGAAAAGTACTTTAAAGATAAAATTTTTTATAAAAAAAAATGAAACAATACAAACATTTTATATTTTTCTTTATTTATAAAATTATTATTTTTTATTTACTTCTAATTGTTTTCTGTACTTTATATATGTTACTGGCAATTATAGGATTTTTTAGGTAAAGTTAAGATTGCCGACAGTGTTATAATCATTGCCCAAAATAAAGTTTTTTATTTCAGACTTTGCCTGAAAACAAATTAGGCAAACTTAAGATTGCCTAAAGAGGGCTAGAGAATGTCAAAATTAATATTTTTGTTTACATTGCCTATTTCACTGGATTGAATAGGTACAAGATAATAAACAAGGGTTTTATAGAACACTTTATTGAAAAATAATCTTATGTATAAGTTAAAACTATGTCAATTAAAAGAACAAACAAACAATTCAATTCTGTACTAAAAACATAAGAACAGTTTTATCCTAAGACTTACTTATTAACATGAGTTTGAATTATTATGGCATCAAGAATTACATAGCAACTTCACTTTTTTACATTTGCAGGCATTTGTTATGCACTTTTTATGCAATAACACTTGAAGAATCCTTGCTCACTGAAAATGGAATTATGACTGTTAATTGACTCTTTGTCAGGGATGTTGTGAGAGATCAGAGTGGAGTTAGCCCTAAATTATGGAAATTTTTAGGTCTATTTCTCCATTGTGATCATTAAGAAAACATTGCACAGAAAATGGATTGAATGACACCCTTTCCATCAACAACTGTTCGAGAATTATAACAATCTTGTGCTAAATGATAACAACCTATTGTTAAAAGAGGAGAAAGTCAACTGTTGAACAAGTAAACAAGATGAATCTTACAAATCTCAAACTAAATATGGTAATAGCTCCATTTAGCGTCATCAACAGCTCACCTATAACACACCACCTGCAAAATCAACCTTCGTCTCCAACAACACTTGATCACCTGATGGGCTTTCCTAGGCCTAGACTGGATAAAAAGGAGGCTGGAACTTGAGTCAAGGTGACCTTCATCTGGCGCCATACACTGGCAGACATCTCCAGCTACCCTGTTCCTAGAGGACATCCCCAGGACGACAATCCCAAGACAGACTCCATGACAGAAGAAGACCAAGTCTCCCGTCCCATCGTATCCTGGACAGATATGGTCCAAACTGGACATTCCAGGGCTATAGAAGACAATGGTTAGACTCGCCATACAACAAAGGAAGCCATACACCACAGCCCAACCTCTGGACTGCAGGATGAATATCACATATTCCTCCACAATGATAGAGAACAGCATTGCTCTTAGAGGTATTTTGAGTAGAATATTTGTAAACTCTCTCTCTCTCTGAGAAAGTAGCTAAACCAGGAATGTCCTCCTCATTAGTGACATATGTATTAGGTTAGTCTAGTTGTTTTATATTGTTACTCTCCATAGTCATTTTTACGCAGATTTTTTGTATACTCTAGATTTTAGTTATAATAAACCTCTTGTATTTGTTTATAACCTGGCTACCTGTTGTTACTTGGAATAATGGATCCCAGTTGACTTGCCCACTGCACTCCCCACTCACCTAAAGCCCTCCTTTAACCCCTTCATTCCCGATCATTAATTAAATTGATATAAGATTAATATTAAAATACATTAAAAATACTTAAAACTGAAAAAAAAATGAAAGAAATGTGTTAATTTTGAAGAAAAAGCTTCAAATTTTATTTTCCTTTGTTTCGCCTTTCTGTGAAATTTAACATCAATGAGTCATTGTTTACACAGTTGGGTGACCTTGAACACAGCTGGAGTCTGATTTCCCGGGACATTCCCATGTACGCCGCGGGAGGTNCTGCTATCAGAAGGATCTTGCAATCCTGCCAACAATTTGTCAACGAGCGGGTTCTACAACCCAATGCTGCTCAAGGGTTAGGAATCCCCTACCCGCAGCTAATCTCATAATGTCTTCTATTTTTGAAAAGTTTTTGCAGCTCTGGTTTCTCAAGAAAATAGAAGGTTTTTCTCTTCTTCTTTTGTCCTAACTTTGTAGAAGTCATCAGTTGACTCCAGAACTAGTCCTATGATTTTCCTATCATTCCTTTTTGATCAATAAAATCTTTGTTGGTACAGGCAGTTACAGATTTACGCACATGTCTTTGGAAATTTCTTATCAGAAAATGATATAATTTTTTTCCACCTGTTTTTTTCTAATGCTGAATATACTGTAAGCTTACGGTTGTGTTCTCATTGCTTCCACGCACAGGAAAGACATAAAATTGAGTTGTTATACATTTGCCGGCAACATATGTAGAATGCAAGACTCCAGTTTAGTTGCTCCTGCAAAATTGGAGGGGGAAAAGGAAAAATCTCTTATCCTGAGAAATCAGATCTGAGAAAAATTTTTAAAAAATGGAAAACATCTTTTGACAGAGAATCAATTAGCAATCATAATTTCACTTTCAGTGGGCAAGGAATTGTCAAGTATCATTGCATGAGAAGTGCACAACAAATATTTGCAAATGTAAAAGGCAAAGTTGCTATGTAATTTTCAACCCTGTAATTCAAACTCTTATGCTAATAAGACTTAGAATAAGTCAGTCATTATGAGTTTTAATAAGGCATTTAATTACTTTCCTGGCTGTTATATATAACAGGAATTGGTCAAAAATGACTACCCCAAGATTTTTACATTTTTGGACTCAGGACCTTGAAACATTGAGAAATGCAGAAAAGAGGTTTTTTTTTCTGTATGTATAGTGTGGGTGTAGGAAACATGATTTTGTACACCATTTTGAAGCTTAATAATTCCTGTGCCTTTCATTGAAAATTCTGAGATTTTGCAGGGAGGTTTGTGTATTAGGGCATTGATGCTATTAAATTTTGGTGGTTAAAGTTTGAGGAGAGGGGGAGATAGAGGGAGGTCGTGTCATATCTTGAGTGAGGTCAGTTCTTAATAAAGATTTTATTCATTATTAGTATTTACAATTATTTTTATAAAACTCATCTCTACTCTCAAATTTAAGCTTTTTGCCATTTTATGATAATTAATAATGTAAGTTTTTAAAATAAAATCTTGATGGCACTACATGCAATTTTAATGTTTTTGCTGGGTAAGTTATGCAATTCATTGCCGGATTTGTTTTGTTTGTTCTGCTTTTACAGATATATTTCAATTCTTATAAGTTCATTCTTCAATAAAGTGTTCTACAAAACTTTTGTTTTTTATCTTGTACTGTACCTATTCAGCCCAGTAAAGTAGGGCAGCATCCAAAGAAAAAAATATCAAATTCATGCATAGACCTCTAGGTAATCAGAGGCTTGCTGATCCTTTTGAAATTATAAAATTAAGAATTTAACGAATATGAAATAGTTTATGTTCTAAAGTATTAAAATGTATTTATCTTATATTAAAAAGTTAAGGTATTAATATAACTTTAACTTTTTGACAGTTTAAATATAATTTTAAAAAAGTTTTGAAAATGAGAGCAAAATTTCTAAAAATATTTAGAATTTAAGTTAAATTATTTAACTTCTAAAAGAATATTGTTTTATTTTTATTAAAAATAGAAGATTCCAAAAGTTTAAACTATATAGACAGTATATACTTTTATAGAGTATTAAGACCATAAAAAAATAAGTTTGAGCACTGATGGATTTTCATTCATTTTCATGAAATTTTACAATCAAATACCAATACTCTAGTAACAGGTTATAAACATGTTTTACATATAAGCTGTTTATTTTCAAAATAAACATAAAATAAAAATGCAAATTAACATTAATTGAATTAAAACTGTAAATACATTAAATTAATAAAACACAATTTATAGAGCTCCTTTATCATAACAAAGTTCTATAAATGTGTATGTCATGATGGAGAGAAGTTTTGCTCTCATTTTCAGAACTTTTTTAAAATTATATTTAAACTTAGTTATTTGTCGAAACCGTGTCTTCTTTTTCTTGTTTCTTCTGATTCTATGTCATATTATATTTATATTTATATTTAAACTGTCAAGATTGAGTAAATAAAACAGAGGTAAATTTATTTACCTCTGTTTTATTTACCCAATTTTGATATTGGTGTTTATAGCACACTACTATAAGAGCTGTAACACAGTGGTCTATAAATTTTAATTTTTTATTGATTTAGTTATTTTGTTTTTATTTTATATTTATTTAAAAGATAACATTTATATATACCAAGACCTCAGTTATACACTTAAACTATATTTTATTTTATGACAACACAATTGTTTGTTTTTTATAATTGTTTATAACATATTACTATAATAATAATCAGGAACTTCTAAAAATTGATTATTATTAAGATAAATGAGAATTCAAAGTTACTGAAACTTAAAAAAAACATTGACTATTTGTTTATATAAATTTTTACATCAAAACAAATCTTCAATCAAGGAGCTGACTTTATTTTGTTGAAACATTTTTGAGAATTAATACATTCTCATCTTCAGTGACTTATATTGCATTCTAATTTTAACAGTATTTTTTGAATATTACATTTTTTTAGCTCTTAACTATCAAACATTATGTAAATTACAACTTTTCAATATGTAATTTAAAAATTAACATTATAAATTAATATTTTAAAAACTTTACCTGTCCTATAGATATCACCTAAAATCCTTTTTATGAATTTTCAAAACCACCATCTTCAGTTACTTGAAATATTATTCCAAATTTTTTCATAAGTTTTTTCTACTTAATTTTATTTATTTTTGTATGATTTTATAATCCATTAAAACATATATTGTTTACATAATTAATTTTGACTATTATTGTTAGAAAACTTAGTGAATAATTACTTTTCAGAAGAAAATTAAAAATTTTTAACAAGATGATGATAATTTTTATCAATAATTGATGTTTTTCAGTATTTGATATTGTGAAAAATTATACTGCTGACTATGACAAAACATTAATATTCAATAAAGTTCATCATGAATTGAATCAATTTTGCAGCATTCATAATCTTCAAGAAGTATATATTGATTTATTTGGTGAGTAGTATATAGTATTATCTGTTATATATTGTATAAAAGCAAGTATTATTAATATACATTTGCTGGCTTGCTGTTTTTTGTAATTCAAAATTTACATAGCTACAAATGTGACTATGAGCAAGCCTGAATCTATAAAGATTATTAAATATCTAAACCCATATTTCATCAGGCTCTTTTGGCTAGTCATAAGTATATAAATTAATTAATTTGACTAAAAATAGGTTTACATTTTCATTTTCGAAATCACAATAAAGATAGGTTGTTATATTTCTATCTTGTGATATTAGTCATTTAGAATTATTAACATTAACAAAAAATGGCACCCTGTCCACCTACCTTTAGTTCAAATTAATTAGTTTCTATATTAATGGCTACCAAAACATGAGGCCTGTGTAATCATCAGTGTATAATAATGACATATATTAGGTCCAATGGAGAGTTAAGGCTCCATGATGTCTTAACTTATACTCTATTAGACATCAGACTTTATTAGACTTTAAATTTGTCATCAATATATTATACTCTTTAACCAAGGTGAGTACATATGAGACAGAGTTTCCATGATAAATCTCATCTGAAGACAACTTGGAGTTTTAAGAAAAAGTTTATTCTTTGTTAGCAATTCAGAAAGTGTCTACAGCTATTAATTCAAACAAAGAGCACTTTTTTTGATGCACAAATGCATATATATCTTTGATCTAGTTTGTCTGCCTAACAGACTTGACTGACTGAAAAACCACGGATGTGTTGGAAAAAGCCAATCCATAAATTTTTAAGTATTTTTCATTGAAGGAAAGAACAATGAGATCATATCATTGTCATTTGAGACAATCACAATAACGATGGGAAGGTTTCCATTATGGCAAGGTGGAAAAAAAATTAGGCTTATAGTAGAACTGATAATTTATAAATTTAACCAAAGTCAAATTTTTGAAAATGCCTCTCAGTATTCAAATCCTCACAGCCTGAAAAAAGTTTGTTAAAAAGTAGCTTTATTACATTTTTTTATTATAAATTTCTTGTTTTAAATATCTTTATTATAAAAAATAGCTTTATAATTTTTGGGTAACAGTTTTTGGGTGCGTTTGTTAATAGCGGTTGCTCTGCAACAGGAGCGCGCTGCTGTTTGTTGGCATTTAGGAACGATGGTGAAAGAAAGATGGCACCTGCACTATCGATAGTATCGTGATGGAGGAATCTATAATTCTAAAATGAGCTTTTAGAAGCAAAAGAAGGCTCCCAGTTGTAAAATTTAACCATTAAATGGATTATTTGTTGAAAGAGCATTCAAAGTAGCCACAAAAACAATTAGAATGCTCGTTGAGTATGCGGAGGTATAAAAGAACGTTGTACGAGGGTTTTACCCAATTCCTGAACCATGTTAGAGTGAACCCGTGCTATAAAAGCACTGTGTTATATGGGGATGTTCCCAATTTTTGAACAGTGTTAGATTGAATCTGTGCTATAGAAGTGCCGTGTTATATGGGGATTACCTGTATTTAGGTTTAAGTTATATAAGCATTTCTATGAATATTCAATTAAAATCTTGATAAATTCAAAACAATGATAGTTTGTAATATGCATTATACTATTGACATTGGTCAATGTCTTTGATCATTAAAAAATGGAGTAACTGTGAAAATAACCCCTTCAATATAGCTGCATACTGTTTAGTGTCATAGGAGTTGTCACTATATTAAAGAAGTTTTTGATTTAAAAAAAAATTTGAACTACTATAATAATTTTCAAAAAATTCATTTTTATTATAGAATTTTGAAAAATTCACAAATGCTTTTCATAAAAATTCTATAAATGTTGGTAAAAAATAAATGCTTTTGATTACTTCTTATAATAAGTATTTTCACACTGGTTTTATTCAAATTAGATAAGTGTTTCTATGAAAAACTAAAAGTCACTGCTTGAATTGAAAAACCAACTTCAGGTTTGATTTTCTCTAAAATATTTTTCTGTTGGTATAAAAGAAATACAGTGGGTGATTGGATAATGAACACTTTCGCGAAAGATAATGTTCAAAACAACACCTCACAGAACAAACAAAAGAAGTGACGTAAAATAATGAATACCAATTGGTCTTCCCTTGTCTTCAGGCAACAATTTGAAACTTTTCGGAGCGCAGGCGACGTCAACACTCAACCCAGTTTATGCTGATTTCATAGTATTCCTCCAAACTTTGAAACTCTCCCTTATAATTCCAACGTTTTATTTTTCTGACAGAAACAATTCTTTTATACTATTTGTGAGACTGTCAGATGGACACTCAAGTTTTGCATGGGTTTTTATTTTTGAAAGGTTGGAATTATAATAGGTTGGAGTATAATAGCAAAGATAGAGTGTGGGCAGATGCCTTATATTGCTGGGCAGTATGGCTTGAACAGATGTTCAGTAGGCTGCAGTTCAATCTTATCTAAGAAAGATACAGTATAATCAAGGTGACTCAAGCAGTTAAAGGAGTAACAAAATCACATGTGAGAAATAAAGAACATTGAAGAGCTCATAATAGATTTAAAAAAAAGATTCAAATAATAATTGAAAGCTATCATATTATGAAATATAAAATATATTTATTCAGTTTTGTTAATTTTGTCAAATAAAATATCTGTATTATTAATGACAATTTTAAATAAAATTAAAATTATAAATATGATTAACATTTATATTATTTTCTAATTTTTAATTTCAATATAATTAACACTTATATAATTTTTAATTTTTTATTCAGATCAAATTGATGAAAATTTAAAGCTTGCTCTTCAGAAAGATTTAAATCTTATGGCACCTGGATTATTTATTCAAGCTGTAAGAGTAACAAAACCAAAAATTCCAGAGACAATAAGAAAAAATTATGAAGCTATGTAAGTAGAAAATATATATAAATTTTACACTGAATATATGAGTAAATTTTAGTTTTTATACAGTGATGATAATATTGTTTTATTAAAATTGTTATTTATTGAACATTATATGCATAAATCGTATTTCATATATGAATTATCTATTAGCAATATGCGCTACATTTGTATTTTCTTCAAAGTCAACTAATGATGGTAAACTATGCTAAAAATATACTCTTTTATGTGGTGAAATCAGATTTATCTGCAACTGCTAAATCCAGCTTAATTATGTAGTTAAACATGTGGATGTGTTGCAGAATTGACTACATGCAAGGTATAGATGTTTGTAGCACTGTTGAAACTTGTATGGTGCCCAGGAGTAGAGTGGGCCCTTTTGCCACTTCATTTTTGAACAAATGAAGTATGTTGAATGTTTCTTTATTAATAAAAAATAAAATTTCAGTAAAAATAACAATTTTATAATAGTAGGAACCATTACAGGCTCCTAAGTTTTCTCTGTGCTCAGGGAAAAATCTCCAGCTCTCCCTCTTAATGACACTAGTTGTTTAACATCTGATAGTTATGAAACTTTCTTTTCAGTGGCATTTTAAGTTCTTTCCACTAAAAAATTGTAACAAAATCAAGAAATAATGAGGTTCTGATTGAAAATGGAGAACCCTACTGAACAGAAATTGTTCCAAAAAGTTTGATGAAACATGGAAAACAAATGAAAACATACACTTGACTGTTATACCATGAGGGAATAGTGTACAAGAATAGAAACTATAAGAAATAGACAAAATTGAGACAAAGCATTGTGGATCTAAATGGCAAGACTGTGATGTCCAATGATATAAAAATATGCTAACCTATAACAGACTGTTTTTTGAATTTTCTGCAGTTGACATTTGTGAAACTCCTGAAGAAATAACACAGCTTATCATTAAATGAAATCTTCATTTTGTATTGAATGTGTTTGTATTGAGCTTTGTATTAACAAATAGTAATACAATTACTTTTATTTCATATTTACATGTTGTTATACTGAGCAATAAACAATTAAAACAAAGCATTATTGTCTTCTAAGTTTGTTGTATTTGGGGCAACTAGTAACATACTTTAACTATAACTGGAGTAAAAATGGCCATTTCTTCTTTTAGCTGTGCCACTTTTTTAGGAAGGTCCATATTTCTGTAATATGCTGTAATGATGATGATTATTATGTTGTCTAGGAAGCTAATTTTATTAATTTTGTTCTCTGTGGATGGCTTTTGATTATATGTCTTCTAATTAGATCTTTGAATGCCACTAAGTTGTATGCTATTGTTCCATTGGAATCCCAATGTAAATGATTGTGCAGTGGTGGGCTTACACTTTGGTATAAAGGCAGTTGTGTTCCTTAAATACAGTGGTACCTCAGGATACGAAATTAATCTGTTCCAAAACTGAGATCGTATCATGAAAATGTCGTAAGTTGAATCATTTTTCCCCATACAATTACATGTAAAACCAAATAATTCATTCCAACGCGAAAAACACACTCAAATTAATGCTAAGTTGTACATTAAAAAAAAATAACTATAGTAAGGAAAACACTGAAAAATGCATTTTGTAGTTGTAAATGTATAAATAACCATAATAGAATAATAATTGATGACAAAAAAAAAATGTAGCTATATTTGCACTTTACCTTTAAAGATAGACGACGGTGGAGGTGTAAACTGGTGGCGGGAGAAGGGAAATGATACTAAAACTTAACTTACATAACATAATGTAACAATAACTTAAAAATAACTTAGAAAAGATTAAAAAAATTAGTGTTGTTTTATATATATTTTTTTAAATTTTTTTTCACTGCTTTTTGCTTTCTTTCCTTCACTTCCACCAGCACTTTCACTGGATAGAGGTCGCTTGGTAAAATATCTATCCAAAGAGGTTTGGCTTTGCCTACTTTTTAAAATGTTTCTAAAATGACTTAGGCAAATGTCATTACTCCGAGCAGCAATACGGCCAGTGTGAACCTTTTCGGGATGTTTCTTTTCAATAAAATCAGTCACTTTCTGATAATACCTCAAGATTTCCTTTATCAAGCGAGATCCTTCCACAACGAAGCAAACATGCGGACTGAGACCGATGAACAGAAGTGAATAAAAAATGGCGCTGCGAACTAATGTAACATCATATGGTGAGTTTTTGTTCGTATCATGGAGCAAAAATATGTTTGAATTTCATGTCTTATCCTGAAAATTTTGTATGCTGGGGTGTTCGTATCCTGAGGTACCACTGTATAGTCTTATCCAAAAAATTAATTTGCTTGAAGTTACTATTGGACAGAACTAGTTATATTCCTGAAGCATTCTTGTCAATTGTATCTGTAAAATCCTGGACTTATGTAGATAATTTTTAAAAATGAATACAAACATCCACATACCTAAGTATAAGTTTGATGTCATTGCAGTACACTTTGATTTGTAGAATTTTCACTCGGTTTAGCACAACCTCTGTAATATCAGATGATTGGGAGCTTATTGGTACTTCCCCTTTGTTGTACAGAGAATGTGTCTTTCCACTGAAAATATGCATTATTGAAGATGTGATCAAGATAATCAGCTATTATCTTGAATTAGTTGGGTGCTGTGGAGAAAATTTTGCACAGATATTGTCTTATAAGTATTGATAATATAGCTTCTATTAATATTTTGATTGATGTAAATAGCTTTTGTAATCTAGAACTAAGAAAAGTCATTAATATCCATTCTGATGGGAACCAAGACTTCTATGACTTTAGTGAAGCTGTTAATTGTGTAGCTGGCTTTACATTTTAAATTTTGAAGGATTGTGTGTATTTTCCTTTCTAGTGTAATTGTGGGTCAAATGTTTTTCCATTAACTGGTCTTGGATGATATCACCTGTGTGTTTTTTCAAAACAATTCAGTGAATAAAAAAGTTGGTATCCTCAAATTTAGTAGATGAATGAGTTATTTTATTGTGTAAATATGATGCCAATTTATTCAGAATATAATATCAAATTATTTTTATAACTTTAAACTAAATGATATTCTCTTTTAAAGGAAAGATTATTCTTTATCATTCAGTTAATCCAAAATCACAAAATTTATTTTCTAATGCAAATTTGAATTGGAAACCTTGAAAACAATTACTTTTCCTTCATAAAGTGGTTTTTTTATGTAACAGAATTTTTACAGTGTTGTCCATGAAAATAAGGTTAATTTTTATTTTTATTTTATAATTAATATTTTACTTTAATTTTGCTTATTTAGGTAATACAGTGGAACCCCGGTTAACGAACTTAATCCGTTCCACGACTCCGTTCGTTAACTGACTTGTTCGTTAACCGAAGCAATTTTTCTCATAGAAATTAATGCAAATGCAATTAATCTGTTCTAGTCTCTGAAATTTTTGTCATTTTATTTGTAACATACAGTAATTTTCTTTGATGAAAATGTAGGAAAATGTAGTATCTATCATTACAGCAACAAACATGTAAACTTTGTTTAATAAAATAGCACAGTACATACCTTTGTTTGTTGTAGTTGGTGGCAGAAAAGTGGAGATATACGAACCTTAATGCTTAAAAGGGGAATCCCCTCCAAAAAAATAACGGGTAGCACTTCATCGGAAGATTCTTCGAGTCGAAGTCTCTTTCGGTAAAAAAAATGCACCAATGGCTAAGTGGTCTTCGTATCTTGAACACGGGGAATTTGTTCATGGGTTCGCACCTCGCTCAGATGGGCTGACCACATGGAGTTTTCCGGGTTTTCTCCACGTCTGTAACGCCTAAATAGAGGCCAGTTTTCCTTAAAAACACCTTCCAGAAAGCATTCCCCCTAGGCAGATCGCCCAAGTGTTGCGTTGCCGTAACTTAACAAACAAACAAACTCTTTCCGTAAGGAACAAGAAATTGATTGTCTTATTTTTTTAATCAAAATTTTCTCAAATGCGATAGCGCGTTGTCGTTTTCTATTGCCACTATGACTTTTTTCTTTCTTGGATGCCATATTGATTAAATATATAAATCACAAAACTGAAAAAAGAAGTATAGCACAAACACTTGGAAAAGCAATGCTTAACTTGCACATGCCTAACACCAACTAAAATTTGACACAAAATACCGTTACGTTCGTTATCCGAATTTTGTTCGTTATCCGAGACAAAATTTTTGCAAAATAAAAGTTCGTTAACCAATCTGGTCATTAACCAGGACGTTCGTTAACCGGGGTTCCACTGTATTGTAATCTATATTACCAGTATTCAAAACTTGATCAAAGAATAATTACTAATATCTAAAATACATTATATGCTTTAAATAAAATACGTTATATTTATTTAATTTAATATATTATTTAATATTTTCCTCCAAATTTTTCAGTACTAATTTCTTATTTTTAATGTTTATTATTTATGAAAAAAATTAAGTTAAAGGATGATAAATTTTTATTCAGAAAAGATTTTAAAAAAATCAATTTGTAGACATTGAAAAATGAAAATAAAATAAAATTTACGAACAATTTTCACCTTGTATTATACCTGGTATAATACAAGGTGAAAATAAAGATTGTTTGTTCCTCTGAATAAGTTTTTTCCTTGGTTGCAAAAACCAAAACACCGGTGCAATACATCCTATTAATAAGCTTGATCCTTGTAGACAAACATTTAGTAAATTGTAGAAAATAAGGACATATAGGCATATGAATTAATATGCTAAATTTATAGCTTTATTGAAAATGACCATTCTGCTGTTTGTCAAATATTTGTCTAATTGTACTTTTATTTTTTAGTCAGTTCTTTCCATTAGGTATGTTATATTTGTCCTTTAATAAAAAATACGTAAAAGAGACTAAATTGTCTTCACTTTTGCCATATCCAATCACCAGGAACAACAGTCTTTCACAGCAGAGATGACCTTTCTGTGGAAGACTGTTGTTCCTGGTGATTGGACGTGGTGAAAGTGAAGAGATTTTAGTCTCTTTTATGTATTTTTTTATTAAAGTGTAAATTCGTCAACCCTTTTTTACAAAAAAATAATTATATTTGTCCGTTTTAGATACAGATAACTTTTGAATACTTGGAAATACACACAGTTCTTAGTTTTTATAAATGTTCAATATTTTATACCTTTTAGACTTAAAACTAACAAGAAACTTTATGAATATAGTGTAAAGCATTTATTTATTATTCTACTTTTCACTTTATCATCAGAATTTCCTTGTATTTTGTAATTGCAAATTTTGAAGTATGATAAAATTTTTCTTGTGTTTTCATACGGAATGATTTTGAGGAAAGAAATTTGAAAAGATTGAAACATGCCAAAAGAGCATGGAATTTAGAAAATTTTAATTTTATGATAATTAATAGAATTTGGATAAAATTTGATCACAAAGTTATGGCAAAGAATTCAGTATAATTTTCAGCATTAAAGATAGAACGGTTTTAATGGAAGATGGAAAAATAAGCTAAGAAGTAGTAATATGTTGAGAGCAAAATTCCACTGTAGACAAGTTATCAGCAATTTTAAGAAATTTTTATTATCTGCATTCATGAGTATGAAAAATATATTATGGAAATGATTTTTTTTATTATATATTTCAAATTATTTTTTTATATACTAGGGAAGGTGAAAAAACTAAACTTCTAATAGCTGCACAGAAGCAGAAAGTTGTTGAAAAAGATGCTGAAACAGAAAGAAGGAAAGCAGAAATAGGTTAAAACATTTTCTCATGTTATAACTCAATTTTAGAAAATAAATATAATTTATAGGGTTTTTTTTTCACATTCATAGATGCTGAGAAAGTAGCTTCTGTAGCAAAAATCCAGTTTGAACAAAAAATCATGGAAAAGGAATCTTTAAAAAAAATTGCATTTATAGAAGGTATAATTTTATTTAATTAGAATTTAAAACAATAATAATAATAAGTTTCATTATAACTTATATTTTGTTAAGATGAAATGCAATTGGCAAGAAGAAAAATGGAAGCTGATGCGGAATATTATACTAAGCAAAAGCTCTCAGAATCAAATAAGGTATTTTATATTTAAAAATCTTACTATTTAATATATGTATTGCATAAATATTTAATTCAAAAAATTGATTATAATTGGTGTATATTAGTCTAAACTTTGCTTAGTCCTAAAACCATATTTTCATGTGTTTATCTACTTATTTGTTAAATATTTGATTATTCTTTACTTTCAAAATTTATTTATTGATATTTTTTTGATTTTATTTATTTATTGATATTGAACACAGATCATGCTTATTTTTAATACAATGGACGTGATCTAGATGTAAAAATCTATTTCACTAAAATAAATTTAATTTATAATTGTCCCTCCATTTTTGGGCTTATGAATTTTATATATATAATTTTAATTAAATTATATAATTAATGGTACGATGGTTTTATTATGAAAATCTCATAGGACTTGAAAATGAGAAATGTATGCAATATAAAAATAGCATATACATATATACATACACACTTGTGTGCAAAACTTAAGCAACGATACAATTTTTAAGCAGACAGCCATGAAATTGTAGAAAAAGGCTTGTTGTGACAGTACAATGAACACCCAGTTCAGTAGAAAGGTGATTTGTATGCAGGAAGATGGCATCACAGATGATGTGGGGCACGCAAAATGTGTGTAATCAGTGCACGCAGTTTAAGACTACAATAAGAAAGTGGCTTTGATTCCATACTGTATGCATTCTATTCATTTTTGTGCTAGTATACTTTCTTCATCCTTTAAGAACAAAATACTGTCTCTATCTTCTGAATTTCATGTCTCCCAGATGATTTCTTGCAGAGTTATGGCAAAAAACAATCGTTGTTTTAGTTTTGCACACCAATGTATATGAATAAAATAGAAAAATTCCATTATAGAAGTAAAATTCCATTATAGAAGTAATTATAGAAGTTTGAAAGTCTTTAATTTCTTTACACACATTTTTTTTTAAAATTATATTGAAGTTAGGTTGTTATTGCTGATAAAAATAATCATAAACCTATTTATTAGAGTTTAAATTCATAACTGTGATGATTTTTATATAAAATGAACTTAATCATATTTATGGTATTCAAAAAATTTTAATTATTCTTTGCTTTTTGAACCTTAGCATATTTTAAATGCAAAAATAGTCAACTAAATTATTACAGAAATTGATTTTAGCCCTTGGTATAATTAAATTAATTAAAATATCTATAACCGTGAGGCAGATAATAGTAAGGGCTTATCACACCAATAATAATGGGCACAAATGCTCAGGAATCAAAGTAAAAACATTTAATAAAACGAAAAGGGGGATGTACAATAAGATGATTTATAAATACGGAAACCAAAAAACCCAAAATGCATTTTGGACTATTTTCCAATAGAAAATAGTCCCTCATCAGTTGGTATTAACTAAAGGTTTTAGTATACTTAAAAAATTTATATAAGGTGAAAAAAATTAAAACTATGCCTAAAGCTATACAATATAAAGATGAAAATGTCACCATGACTGTATGAGCAGTAAGCATTATCAATGTAGACAGGAGTAATAATTCTTCATAACGTTGCATGGTAGCATGATGTACAGGGTGTTGATACAAAACAGTTATGAGTTAGCTGAATTATTGGTTTACAGTTATGAACTAATGTTATACAGACAGTTCAAATTATATACATAACAAAAACAGTAAGACAACAGAGTTGTGGGTTCAGACATTACTACAAGATTCAGGGAGTGGTTACAAAGGAGATGTTACCTTCCACATCTGGTGCACAAGTGGTGACAACATATGATACAACTAGATGTCAGTGTTAATTTTATCTATTTCATTTTTTAATAAATGAGGGCTTATGCACAAATATCGATTGGGATCTAGGCAAATTATTCTATAGGTGTAACAAAGTTATTACAGAAATTGCTTTTAGCCCTAGGTATAATTAAATTAATTAAAATATCTACAACTGTTAGGCAGATAATAGTAAGGGCTTATCACACCAATGATACTTATTGTACACCACCTTTTTGTTTTATTAAATGCTTTTACTTTGATTCCTGAGCATTTGTGCCCATTATCATTGGTGTGATAAGCTTTTACTATTATCTGCTTCATGGTTATAGATATTTTAATTAAGTCAAATAAATATTTTTAATATCTAAAAATTATCAAATATCTCAAATATATAGAAATGTACCAAACATAGGAATTGTATGTCAAACAGCAACAAATATTGCTAGGTTTTCTGGATTTTTTTTAAATATCGGACTTTTACTAAAATCTTCTTACGTAAATACTGGAAAGCATATAAATTAACACTCTAAAACCTTTAAACGTCCAGTAGTAATCAATTTAATACTAAACAAACGTTTTCGACCGTACCTTCGGTCTTCATCAGGTTTAAAACTGTTAGATTTGAACCTGTGTAAGCGTAGAACAATGATTATGAAATTATTTTGAAAATAATGGAACAGCACAAACGGATTTTAAAAGAATACAGTTATGCATGTGCATTGCCATGGCGACGGAATGGCATATGTAATACATACAATTATATATAAATAAATACACCAAAACGGGGATGTGGTCTTTAACTGCTGGAGTGGGCGTCGCCCGTTACCTCATAGCAGTACTTCCAAGCGTGTGACACATTGACCGCATCATTAGCGTTAATGCAGTTGGTGCGTAACCCGGCGTTGTAAATTTCCAGTGCCTCCAGATTTCGCAGGTGTTCCACCCGGTGAGAAAGTTTGATCAGTTTGGCCTCATGTAGGTCAGCTCTTATGCCGGGTTCAGTGGCATATGTTGATAGGGCGGTGGTGTGCTGTTTATTAACGATGTCGTATTTATGTTCCTGCAATCTTTTATTCAAAGAGCGTTTTGTGGACCCAATATAAACTAATTTCCTTTGAAACCTGTTGTCCCATAGAGGGACCATGTAAACATCCGGTGCTTGCTTTTTATTGATCTTGTCTTTGCCACCGCGGAGTAGACCATATACAGTGCTAGGCCTCTTGTATGCAATCTTAGTATTAGTGTGGGCGGCAATCTCCCTGTAAACTGAGTTGAGGTGGTGATTGTACTCAACTACCGCACGAGACTGTGTGCCATTTACGTTGTGTGTTTCGTGGGCCGCTGCTTGTATGTTAGAAGTGTCGCGTGCGGCTATTCGTGATACATATGCGCGGGCAAGGTCGTGTATCAGGTTCCTTCTATATCCGTGCTGTATTGCTATGTTCTGAATGCATTTCAACATAAGGAGGTGCATTTCCTCGATATCCACCTACAACTTGATGGCACTAGGGTGGTAACGAAGGTACATTACAAATCATGCTATAGGCCATTGTTCATCCCGGCCAACTCGGCGGACCCATACTCATATAAGATCTCTGCATTCCGTGCCCTAACAAAGCGGGCTTTTACACACCATACTAGATCTGAGGACACAGAGGCGGAGTTGAAACGCATTCAGAACATAGCAATACAGCACGGATATAGAAGGAACCTGATACACGACCTTGCCCACGCATATGTATCACGAATAGCCGCACGCGACACTTCTAACATACAAGCAGCGGCCCACGAAACACACAACGTAAATGGCACACAGTCTCGTGCGGTAGTTGAGTACAATCACCACCTCAACTCAGTTTACAGGGAGATTGCCGCCCACACTAATACTAAGATTGCATACAAGAGGCCTAGCACTGTATATGGTCTACTCCGCGGTGGCAAAGACAAGATCAATAAAAAGCAAGCACCGGATGTTTACATGGTCCCTCTATGGGACAACAGGTTTCAAAGGAAATTAGTTTATATTGGGTCCACAAAACGCTCTTTGAATAAAAGATTGCAGGAACATAAATACGACATCGTTAATAAACAGCACACCACCGCCCTATCAACATATGCCACTGAACCCGGCATAAGAGCTGACCTACATGAGGCCAAACTGATCAAACTTTCTCACCGGGTGGAACACCTGCGAAATCTGGAGGCACTGGAAATTTACAACGCCGGGTTACGCACCAACTGCATTAACGCTAATGATGCGGTCAATGTGTCACACGCTTGGAAGTACTGCTATGAGGTAACGGGTGACGCCCACTCCAGCAGTTAAAGACCACATCCCCGTTTGGTGTATTTATTTATATAAATTTGTATAATTGTATGTATTACATATGCCATTCCGTCGCCATGGCAATGCACATGCATAACTGTGTTCTTTTAAAATCCGTTTGTGCTGTTCCATTATTTTCAAAATAATTTCATAATCATTGTTCTACGCTTACACAGGTTCAAATCTAACGGTTTTAAACCTGATGAAGACCGAAGGTACAGTCGAAAACGTTTGTTTAGTATTAAATTGATTACTACTGGACGTTTAAAGGTTTTGGAGTGTTAATTTACTGGACTTTTAATATTGAAACTTGACCTATGTATCTACAATGTCACATTTTATATGAATGATAATAATTAGGATTAATTTTCAGTTGGTTAATCAGAAATATTTCAGAGAAAGAAATCGGACTGACATGGGATTTGAACTGTCTTGAAAATCGGGTATTAGTTATATCATGTGACTTCCAAACCACTCATTTGTAGTTGTATTGTTTTTCAAATATTTATATATGTGTAAGTTGATGATATTTTTTAAAATATGTACAGTGGTACCTCAGGTTACGAACGCCCCAGCATACGAAATTTTCAGGATACGACATGAAATTCGAACATTTTTTGCTCCACGATACGAACAAAAACTCACCATACGACGTTACATTAGTTCGCATTTTTCATTTGTTTTTCTTACTACTGTTATTTTTTTTAATGTATTACTTGGCTTTAATTTGAGTATGTTTTTCGCGTTGGAACGAATTATTTGATGTAATCGTATGGGAAAAGATGATCCACCTTACGACATTTTCATGATACGATCTCAGTTTCGGAACGGATTAATTTCGTATCCTGAGGTACCACTGTAATTACTTCATGCCATAGAAATATTTAATAATTTTTGGGGGGAAATGTTTATTTCATTCAAAATACATTTTA